ATGCAATAACTCTTACTTCGTTGTTTCTCCCTGGGGTGATGTAAGTACTGCCTTAAATAATTTTGTTCATTTGATTTGTATGCACCGAAGAGGACAGAGGTTGCATACGACATGTTATATAGTTCTGAAGTATGCTTTTTTTTTCAAAGGTCATCGCATTTGTGACATATGGAGAATTCGTGAGATACATAAAAGTGTGCAATAAAGTTGCATTTTAGATATTTTAACTGCGAATTCAATGAAATGTTGCTATTTAAAGCTGGAAAATGAATGCAATTTTTTAAATTTTTTGGCAGTTTCACAATTCAGGCATTAAAGGATGAAGGAAGCACAAGATTCTCGTCTTGATATCACTCGTACAACTCAGCATTGCATTAATAATGCTAATTAGAGTAATTAATATGTATTGGCTCTCAATTAAGTGTTAACTAAGTAGCCAAGGTTTATGGGTATTTTATTATAAGGTGTACTGTGTAATTTATTTGTGCGTAGTTACGTGTTTATTTTCTTGACATATATGCATAGGTATAATCTGAATCGAAATTATCAGCAATTATTTTTTCTAAACAGTCTCACATAGGCATAATTTTAATATTACTGAAATGTTGCAAGATATCATCAACTGAGGGCTCTGTGGAAAAGTATTTTCCAAAAATGTCTTAGTTTGGTTTCTAGCCAGCTGTTAAGAACTCCACCCATTTGGCCAGGGATATAGACTCAGTAGCTTCTTGATAACAGCAGTCTGGAATAACAAATTGCATCGCATGCTGACCGATCGTCACAATGTAGGGAGGTTTAGTGAGATTACACCTTCGCGGCACAAGCAGGTGCAATTACCTCGCCAATGTGCAGCACCCTCACCTCCCGCCATGGCTGGTCAGTCAACTTTCGCTTTCGCGTGACCTGTTTTGTTCGGGAAATGACTCTGCAGGTGCACCAAAGGGGTAGATTGTGCAGCCGTGCCATTACTCACAAAAGATAGCCAATGAACTTCTTTTTATTTTCTTTTTATTGTGATAGAAATTGTATGAACACACTCGGGTGGACTTTGTCGTCGTCATCAGTGACCGCCGCCATTCATCGTATATATGTACGTTCAAACCTCGTTATAATGAAGTTGAAGGGGAGCAACAATTATTTCTTTATGTCCATTATTTCGTTATATCTATTATAACAGTTTGTGGCAATGTATGCTCAGATGGGCACACACCTATAAGAATGCAAAGAAGGAAACCGTCTCGCAGCCTGATGTACCGCTACCTGACCACGCGTGCAGTCGAACCTCATTAATTCGAACATGCTTGATTCGAACTCACGCTGAAATCCCGCCAAAACTGTGTATTTAAATGGGCGAAAATTCTCAGTAATTCGAACGTGCAAGCACTTGGGACAATTAATTCGAACACACCGCGCTCCAAAAATGCTCTCAGCACCATGCCCAATCTCGCGGCGGCATCTCTTAACGCTTCGTGCGATGAAGGAAAAGAAGAAAAAGAAAAAAAACTGTGGTGGATTGTTTGCTCTCTCTCTCTCTCAAATGCCAACCTGCAACGTGCCTGTGCCACGTACGCTTCTCTGTTTTCTGGCTCTGCACCATGGAGGAAGGAGTTTTTCTTTTCTTCATGCCCTGCACGTAGAGACCCTTTTCCTTTCAAGGTCACGCGTGTAGAGAGAGGAAAAAAAAAAGAAAAACTGTTGTGGAGAGTTCTCCTTTCTCGGTGCAGAAGGTAACAGCAGAGACGCAGTCGTTGCCGTCGTAAAGGGAAATCACTTTGCACCGCGGCGCCGCTTCTCGGTCATGTGACCCGCTGAGCGCTTCCTCAATCTTCTACGCTGACTGTGTGAGGAGGAAGGCTCTCTTGGCCATGCGTGGCCGTAAGGTTGGCGTGGTAGTTTTGAAAGAGCCATGCCGAACGAGCGTCAAACTCCGCAGAAAACGATATAATTAACACACAGCGGTCGGTTTTTTAAAGACGATAGTCTTTCTTGGGGACCTTCCACGCAAAAATTTTGGTCTGTCTGTCTTTAAATTTGTCTGTTTGTCCCTCCTTAACGATACCCTAAACGGCACTAAAGTGGCCAAACGACAAACAGCCGACCCCATCTGTAGCGCCCACCAATATTGCTCAAGATTCAGCGTTCATACCTGTGGGATTGTCAATTAAGAACCAATTATTGCGCATGTCTGAGGCACCGTAACAACATCAATATTCTGTATGTGTGTTTCTTACTAGAAAAGGCATACATTAGTAATTCTAAGGACCGTAGCATTTATCACGTTGTGCTGACCATGCAACGCTTGCACGAAAAGGCAAGTGTTTCCAACGCTTTGCTAAAACGACACGGTGGTGGCACCTACCCGTCGCCATGCGTTCTACACCCTATCACCTTCGAAACGGGCTGTGTATTTGGAATTGCTGGTCCTGCATCGCCCGAAAGAGAGAAAAGAAAGAGTGCGAGGAGGACGCCAGTGTCAATGTCAGGATTGCTCGTGCGCGACTGGTGGTGCAGTGACAGCGACTCTAGCGTTGACGTGCTGGTGACGCTCGCGCTGGTGAGGCAGTGACCCTGACTAAACTTGCACACCTGCGCCTCATTTTCTGCCATGCTCCCAGCTCTTCCATTGTTCCTCTCCAACTAAGCAGCACAGCCCCCGCCATAATCCATGGTAACAAGGGAGGTGGTTGGGGATACACAATAGGGTAGCTAAGACTTCCGTTGGGTGCATGAGCTGCCCATTCAGACACCGCAGAAGCCTCGGAGAGGGCATTGTTAATTCTCCAAGATCCAAGATTGCCTGCTTTGTGGTCGTTTGAAGCAGACATGGGGCTAATTTTCGCTCAGCCGCCAATCTCCCGAAGACACGCCGACAGTGAGTCACGGAAACACAGAAGTGTTTATGGCTGTTCCATCGTGCGGAAGCACCCTCGCCCCTTCGGTGCATTGGATAGATCACTACCATGTGGCAGGGGCGCGAGTGAGTGGATTTCGATAAGATGGCGATAGCACGGTGATGGTTTCAATGTGGGAAGAGGTTCCGACTGTCAACGTGAAGCGCCTCTGCCACACCTTCAGCACAGACAGCAGCAAGCAACTAATACGATGTGGATTGTCGTATTAAATGCCTTGCTGTAGCTGGCGAGCCACTTGTGCGCATCCGTCTGTGTAGAGGTTGACATGGAGGCACTTCACGTCAGATGGGCCAGCTGAACCGGCACCTATTTCGCACCTAAATGTGCGCGTGGCTGCCATGTCGTTCGGAACCACATCATTGACCGAAACACGCTTCTCGTTTAATGTGCTGGCATCTAATTCAGACATGAGTGCCTGGGCGTCTGCCTTGGCAGTCGGAATCGCATTTCTGCAAGAGCAGTCGGAACTGGTACAGTGTGTGACAAAAGCGCGATGCACATGACCGAATGTTAGATGGTAATTTTGAACTTTAATTCGCACATGAGCGTCGATATCTTACGTCGACTACGCCAGCAGTGCCGCGTATGAAGTAGTGGTTAATTGAATAAAAAAAAACAGTCACTCTTCTGCAACTCTTGCGGGTAGCACGGTTCAGCTCAGCTCTTACAGGCAGAAAGAAAGAGGTACGCTGAAAGGCAGAAAGAAAAAGGTAGAGAATAGAGTGTGATGGCAGGTTGTTGGTGCTACTGTACGATGGAACAGCCGGAATAACTCCGCACATTCCATCGCGGGCGCATGCGTGCGTCACCTGCACGTCACCTACAGAAAGTAACCAATAGCGCACGAGCAATCCTGACGCTGTCGCTGGCGTCCTCTTCGCACTCTTTCTTTTCCCCCTTTCGTTCGATGCGGGACCAGCAATTCCAAATACGCAGACTTTGTTTTCCAAGATAGGTGCCAGATAGCGCTCATGTCTCACCTGTAATGTGACCTAATGCGCTCGTTCGCCTCCAGTGCACACTCAAGGCACTCTAACGCAGCGTCTCCAGAATACCATTCACCGATTTTCTTGTGCAGAACATCAAATAGACGTTTTGTTCACTCTCTCCAGACGCAAGGCTATCGTCTTTCGACAACATTTGCAGTGTAACATGCAGATACAGTTTCAATATTTTTTTATAGATTATAGATTGATAGACTAACTTAGTTTATTAATACATTTACCGGTCAATTTTACTTCGTTACAATGAGGTTTAAAATGCATAGTTCTCAATGGAGCTTTCAAGGGGAATCTCATTTACGTCAATATATCCACTATTTTGTTATATCCCGTTACGTTATAATGAGGTTTGAGTGTATATATATCTATATATATGAAAATGCAAAAAAAAGAAAAATAATTCAGAAAAATAAACTGGTGCACGGAATCAAACATATGACCTCATGCTTGTGATTGCGTGGCATTGGCCATTGAGCCACGAAAGAGCACCTCCTTTAACGTTAAAATGGCAAGCCATTTATATGTACCACTTACCGCTGCCGATGGCAATTTCGAGGAAACTATCATGTTTTCAGCATTACCAGTGAGATAGCGGAATGTGTGCATGTTGCAAGATCGTCACGTTGCAGTCACACATGCTTATGCGTTCATCTCCCACATGTGCTTCGCACTGGGGAAGGGGGGTGTAGATGCTTACGCATGTGCGCTTATCTCGCGGTCGGGATAATCATACGCCTTGGGCTCTCACCAGAATGATTCTGTTGTAGATACCAGGTGCACAAAGGCCACCACACTCACTACACAGTCTCCCTTTCCAAAAAGGGGCGCCCTTCTCAGATACAGCTAAGTAACAACTGAGACACTTATTCTCGTTCATCTGAACCTGTGAGTATGTTTCGTGCGTCATTCGTGCATGAGCAATGCGGAGCACGTTTTCATCTGCTTGCCATTCTTCACAAGCATTTCGTTTGTTGCTATCGCATTCATTGCTTCGCCTTTGTGGCAAAGCTGTGACTTTTTTTCAGATTGGATTGCTTTTGCTTAGTGGCTCTTCAAGGCTTCTATGTGCGGTGTTCACATGACGCAGGTGGACTGCTGGAGTTCTCTAGCCGCCATCATACACTGTGTGAGGAAGGCAGTTCGCGGGGTCCTCTGACGTCCCTGTCGCAGCCTTGCTTGAGCGCCGTGGGGCCGACGAGGATCCTGCCTTTTCTATTCCTGGGCTCCCAGAGGGATGCTCAAGACCCCGACCTGCTGGCGGCTCACAACATCTGCTACGAGCTGAACGTCAGCACGTCGTGTCCTAAGCCGGACTTCATCCCCGACGCGCACTTCTTGCGCATTCCCGTCAATGACAGCCACGCCGACAAGCTGCGGCCCCACTTCGCTCGAGCCTGCCGGTTTCTGGGTAAGTGTGCAGACTTCCCTGTACGTATTATCATGCGAGGGAGCAACGAAAGGGGTCGAGACGTAGCAAAGGGTTGTTTACTATCATTCTCAGCAGCCAAAAACTTCTCCTCAGCCTCGACTGCCACTAGTGTGTGGCATGGCTCCACGAAAAATAAAAAATGCTTCGGATCGATACCGTAGCTAGAAATAAAAATAAAAGCTGAGCCGAGAAAGTTAGTGACGTATTGAGCAGTAAAAGACAAAATTAAAAGAAACAACAAAAATAGACAGTGGGCTTGGCTGCAGGCACGTTGCCACAAAGATTGTAGCTTGTAGTCAGCGCGAATAGTATGATTTCATCCTGGTGACCTGAACCACACCAGACGAATGTAGTAGATGAGAGTGGCGCGATTTCTCCGCTGCCACAACTTCATAGTTGACTTCACCAATGCGGTGTAGAATACGGTAGGGTCCGAAATATCGATACAATTTTTCGAGCAGCCGCGTTGTCGTATAGGCATCCAAATCTAGACTAGGTTACCTGTCTTGTAGGCTCTGTGATGGCTGTTGTATCGGCGAGCATCTTGGTCTTGACAAGACAAATGCATTGGAATGCGAAATTTCGTGCTGCATCGGCTTGCTGAACGAAGACGTTTGTATCTGGAGAGATGGTGGCAGACGGAGTTGGCAGGAGCATTACGTTAACATCGTGGTGACATCGCGACTGTAAAGAAGTCTGAACGGTGCAGATCCGATGGTTCCCTGGAGAGCCGTGTTGTAGGCAATTGTTAAGTATGGGAGATTCGTCCCGATTTTCCTGATTTGAGGCTACATACGTTGAAAGCATATTTGCAATCATTTTGTTGAGGCGCTCAGTTAATCCTTTGGTCTGCAGGTGGTATGCTGGTGCTGTTCGATGTGTGGTGCCACTCAGCTACTAGATATATTACGGGGCAACTGTGCCGGGAAGGCTGTACCACAATCTGTGATGACAACAGCTGGAGCATCATGGCAGAGAACAATGTTTTTGGGAAAGAAGTTGGCCACATCGAAAACAGTAGCTCGCTGAATGGCTTCGATTTCACAGAATCGAGTCAAATAATCAGTAGCGACAACAATCCAGCGGTTGTTAGCTGTAGACTAGGGAAACGGTCCGGACAAATCGATGCCGACCTGTTCGAAAGGTGTGTGCGGAGGTCTCAGAGGCCAGAGGAGAACCGTTGGCTTCATAGAAAGAAATTTGGGGCGATAGCAAGCAGTACAAGTTTTGACGTGTTGTGTGACGGTTTTGCGAGTTTCTGTCAATAGTACTTATGTTTGATCTTCGCCAAAGTGCGTGTGAAGCCAAGCCAAGATGCCCAGACGATGGCTCGTCGTGGCATGCACGTAAAACCTCGTCGCGGAGAGGAACGGGAACTACTAGCAGGTAAAGGGTTTGCGCGGGATGAAATTTGTGCTTGTAGAGGACGTCGTCGCATAGACAGAAAGATGACAAGTCATGCACAAACTGACGGGGAGACCATGAGTGAGGTCTTTTGAGGTATTCGGTTAGTGGTTGCAGTTCTGGGTCTTGGCATTGCTGTTGGGCCACATTGGAAGAGGCTAGGGTGGAAAGGAAGCCGCAGTCTTCTTCAGAGTCCTTAGGAGCGGTCTCGACGAAGGCACGGGAACGGCAGTCGGCGTTGGCGTGTTTATGGCCAGACCGGTGCACGATTGTCAAATCAACTTCCTGCAGCCGAAGGTTCCATCTTGCAAGACGACCTGAAGGATTCTTGAGATTCGCCAGCCAGCAGGGAGAGTGGTGATCACTGACGATTCGAAAGGGCTGCCCGTACAAGTATGGCCGGAACTTTGTAATACCCCATACGATGGCCAGGCATTTTTTTTTTTTTTTTCAGTTGTTGAATAGCTCTTCTCAGCAGAAGACAACGTGTGGCTAGCATAGATGATACAGTCAAACCCTGCTACAACGAAACTGACGGGGTGCAGAAAAAATTTGGTTAAAGTAAAAACGAAAATTATAGCTGATCTGAGCTAGCAAAACAAAACAACGTTTATTCTCAAAATTCAAAAAATGTCTGCTGCTTCCTATTTTTTACCAGCAGCGCCACGATGTGATTCTCACCCATACATAGCGAGGTCATGGTGGAAAGCACGCTGAAATAACGCCTAAAACCGCCTTCGCGAAACAAACCAAACAGTTGCATTCACACGTTAACACCAGCAGCTGTCCGTCAAAAGTATCCGACAACGCCAAGATAGAGGCAGGGTATCGTGGAGTGGTGACTTTTGCATTATTCTATGCCATTCTTATCATCCATCTCACAGCTAGCTGATTTTGTTGATATTGAGGACGAACAGCCACTCTGATTAGTTGCCACACTGGCCAAGCACGAACATAACAGAATTGGAAAAGGCATCGTTCCGCGGTTGCACCCAGCAGCTGTGTGAAATTCCTCCATGGCGTGAAGGAAACCTTGAACTGAGCGACTAAGCTTCAGCTTTGGACCATCTGTGGCTCAAAAGCAAGCCAGCGGCAAAATCAGGGCCATTGACAGTATTTAGAGCAGTCTCATTGCCATCGCTATCGAGCAATGGCGGCGCCCATGCTTGCTAAACAGGGACAGTTTCTGGTGGTGCCAACGCGTGTCTTATACTTTGTTGGCGCATTTTCAGGCCCTGAAAATGCATCGAAGTGGTAATGATTGGGTTTACTGCATAAAAATAAGTATCCGAGTGTGGAATTTAATCGTGAAATTTCGTTGAAGCGGGTCGATCGAAGAAAAAGTGTTTGTTGTGGCGACAATATTCATGCATTGACTCCTATAGACTGCTGTTGGGGAATCGTGAATCTTTCGTTGTAGCGGAGTTCGACTGTAACGCGTTCAACGTCACCTTGAAACTGCACGAGAATGGCTCCGAGTCCAAGGTTGCTAGCATCAGTGTGCATTTTTGTATCTGCTTCTGTGTCAAAATGACCAAGGATCGGCGGGTTTTGAAGATAAAGGTTCTGCGAGTTTAGCAAAATTTGGCACATGCGGTGGTAATATGCACAAACGCCTAGAAATCGGTGCACATCTCGCTTTGTCTTCGGCATTGGAAAGAGAGCAACTGCCGTGGCTTTTTCGGGGTCAGGACGCACACCTGTACTGCTCACGATATGGCTTAAGAATTTTCGCTGGTCATATTTGAAGTGACACTTTTCCAGCTTCAGGGGTAGACTGGTAGTTCGTATGGCCTGAAGTACAGCCTGAAGCTGCTCGAAGTGCTCTTCAAAGGTCGTGGAAAAAACAACTATGTTGCCTAAGTACACAAACACAGCTTTATGCCAGCTAACGCTGTGACCATCATTCGCTGGAACGTAGCTGGAGTGGAACGTAACCCAAAAGGGAGGACCTTAAATTCATGAAGGCCGCCAGGGGTTATAAAGGCCATTTTTTTCCCAGTCCCATTCGTCAACTTCGACCTGCCAGTACCCGTTACAAAGATCCATCAAAGAAAAGTAGAGGGCATGTCACAGGCGATCTTAAGAGTCATCGATACAGGGAAGGAGAAAAATGTCTTTCTTAGTAATGGAGTCCAACTTGCGGTAATCCACACAGAATTGGAGCGAGCCATCCTTCTTAACCAGTACAACCAGTGACGCCTACAGACTGCCGGAAGGTTGAATGACGTCATAAGCGAGCATGTCTTTTACTTGATGATTTTTACATTTCTTTTTACTTGAATAGCATCCTGTTCTTTCTGTGAAACACGGTAAGCGTGTTGACGCACCGGTTGGATGGTTGGCTCAGTGATGATTGTGTATTTGGTTAACGGATTGTGCTGGACCTTCGATGTAGTGGCAAAACAATCGCTAAAAGATGACAGCAAGCTGAGTAGTCTTTATCAATTTTGTTGCTCTATCTGTTGATTAATGTTGATGTGGTTGGTCACGGCTACATCGCAGCTTTTATCTGTAAATTGTGTCGTGATCAAAGCGTGGGTGCTCGATTTGTTGAAGGTATTTCAGTGCGCTGTGGTGGTGCGCCTCGCCAAATGCTTGTATTCAACACTGAAGTTGGTCACTAAGATCGTAGTTCACCCATTTCAGAGCTCTATTATACCTCGAACTATGGCGATCTCTCGACCCAGTAATAAGGCGACGTTACCTTTGGCAATGCCTGTGCATCCTTGTTCCTGTGGGCACTCAACAAGGATGAAGACGCTGCTACAAGGCGACAAGGTTTCGCAGTCATCGGCGATGCGTAATGGCACACACAGACGTTCGTCCGCGTCATCCGAATCTGTATGAACACAGTTAGCAAAGGTTGCGAACAAATCTCGCGGATTAATGACCGCTGCATACTCCTAAAAAAATTCATACCCAATATAACTCGTCAGGAACATTTGGGCAGCACAAAGAAAGATGCCGAAAAAGCCGTTGCACAAATTTCAAGTCTTGCAGTGCACCGGCTGATTGGTGACACGAGGTGTCCTTCAGCGGTGATCAGTTATGGGCGGTCCCATGTCGTCAGCACCTTGCGTAGCTCGATGGCCAATGCCGTACTTACCACAGACTAATCAGCTCCTGTATCGATGAGCGCAAAACTGGATGACAGTCAATGGACCTGTTATAGCAGCAGGAATTTTTTGAGCGATTACGGAAGAAGGCATCAGGGATAAGTCATTGGGGGGTGGCATCGGAGGATATTTTTCAGTTTGCGTGACAGCGGCTTCAACTCTGTAGGTCACCGTTCTCAGTTTCCCCGGCGTGGTAGCCACTGACACCAGTGAGCTAGAAGGCTCCTTGGAGGGGGTTTTGCGATATGTAACGTAATATGTAACCGCAAAAAAATATTTTCATTAGGGCGCTCATTGTCATGGCAGTTAATCAGGTATTGCAAACAAAGTAGTCTATAGTGCCATGTATCTGCCTTTGGAACGTCGATATTTGAAAGTGATTATAAAACCTCAGCGTACTAGAAGATCCAGCTTTAGGGACAGTGTCAACGAACACGTAATATAACCCTAAAGCAC